TACACATATATATATATATATATATACATATATATATATATATATATATATATATATACATATATATATACATATATATATATATATATATATGAATCTTATGTACAAGTAGCAAACCGGGCTGCAGTGGTTAGTCATATTTATCGTTCGGGGGAATTATCTTACATAGTCAGGGGCCTAATATTTGGTATTTTGGTGTTACTAATGAGTCTTATATGAGGTAATTAGCCGCTGCATTGTTTATCCCTCTGCTGTAGTTTTCTCATAATTTGTTTGTACCTAAAGATATTTAGAGAACTGAGCACAGCTGAAAGCTTTTGGAACCTGTTTGGCAGATTTGTTCTCAATAGTCTCTGTAACATTACCTACAGTATAAATCATAAAGAGTCACTGCATGCTCTGCTCACTATTCGGGCAAACCTAATGACGACTTAATGTAATCATTGCAGATAGGTAGTATGTTAGGGCAGGATACGAGACAACAAAATTATTATTTTTTTTTACTTTAACATTACTTTTATTTTAAAACGCAGACAAACTTAGGATGTGCAGGTTCACTGGCCATTCATCTTTTGCTATGACTAATGACATTCTTCCTCTGGTGCCTCAAGGGATTGCATAATACAATTATTTTGTATGGAGTGGCAAAGAGTTGGCAAAAACTCTAAAGAAGAATCTGCACTGAGTCTTTGATATGACTCTCTTAAGAGGTCTTTTGAATACTTAGACTGTAAAAATGAATACATTCAGTCCTCAATTAAGTGTAAACAAACCGTCTGCCCTTAATGAATAAGTGCAGCTGCCTGCCTTTCCTCTTGGGGCATGGCTGTGAGGGGCACTGTGACGCCAGTGGTTTGTTGTCTGTTGTTCACAATAAGTGCCAGATTGTACTGTACGTAAGCAAATGTATTTTATCCAATAAATATGTATATATTTAAAATATTATATAATATATATAATATATGTGGACCTTCGTCAGAAATTCACGTTTTAAAGATTTATTTAACCGTGTCTATAACATGCTCATGTTTCGTGAAACCATTTAAGGGAACACTGTCGGTTTGCAAACTTAAACTTGCTTTTAAATCACAACGAATAACGGTCACGTACCTCTCTTCGTAGCACGTAGAGTGTAGCTTAGTTCATTTGCAACCACGTCAACAAACACTATATATTTAACAAAGTGTTGTCACACTATTTACCTGTCTCGCAAGCGGTCGGCGTCGAGTAGAAACGAGGTTTCCAAGGTAGTGCGCCCTTGCCCCTTGGCACACAGGACATGACGTCAGTGACAACACACCGGTGTTGCGTTCAAAATCTCAGGATATGTCAGGATCCTGGAAAATATTGTTTATAAACGTGTGTGATTATATTATATTATATTATATTATAATAGGGATGATATATACATTATGAACACAACATGGACTCCCATGTATGCGTGTATCACATGCAATAATTTTACTCTTACTGAAAGTCTATGAATTATACCCGTGTCCTAAAATATGAAGATATATAATAAGATTATTTTAAAGCCAGCACTAAATATTATTAAGTAAATACGTAATAGCAGCACAAATACATGATCTTATATTCAGATTAACAAAATAAAAATTGGAATGGGAATGAGAATCAAAAAGGAGGATCAAAGTAAAAGTAACATTGGCGAATAAAAGTGGATTATTAAACAGACGAACGCAAATTACATAATGTTATGTGAGTACATTTTGATTCACCACATTATTAACTCGCGTTGGGAAACCTTAATATTTCTTATATACTGCCGCCATCTACAGGAAGTGAGCAATGATTACACGTTTTCGTTTCGTATTTCAAAATAAAAGTAGTGCAAAATAATAATAAAAACAGTCAAATTATAAAATTATAATACACAGAATTTAATTGAATGAAAATGTACTCCATAAAAGGTGCACTTGGGACTTATTCTCAAACTGCGTATCATTATAGTGGAAGGATGAGGTTACATAAGCAGGCTTCACAACATAATTTGCATATTTTATGTTAAATTGGGTCATTTTTTTTCAGACCTCCCATTTGACTTTCACTCAATCCAGGGAAGTACTGCCTTAGTGGAATGAACAGTTGTTTTCAGACTCACCAGCCGACAAGGCTTCACAGCACGCATTGCACTTAGTCCTGGGAAATTAGGCTTCGTGTTTAACTTATTGTGAATCACTGCAGTATTGAGGATAATAAGCAATAAGTACTTCCTAATAAATTGTACTTCCGGTATTTGATGATCACTGACTTAAAAATAAGGCTCAAGGATTACATTTTTTTTATCCATAACATAGCATGCAAGTCCAAATCATCTTAACCTTGCCTCAAAACTGTTCAACCGTAGTAAAAATTGACAACATCTTTAACTCTGCCACCTCAGGTTTTGCTTTTTTTTTGCTTTTTTTCCGTCTCGATAATGCACCTGTCTGAAAACCATAGATCACAGCGGGTCTCGCTGCTATTTTATAGATATTCCCATTTAACCTTACCGTTGTCTATCTGTCTCACATCAACCCCCCCGCCTCTGTCTGAAAACCATAGATCATAGCGGGTCTCGCTGCTATTTTATAGATATTCCCATTTAACCTTACCGTTGTCTATCTGTCTCACATCAACCCCCCCCAACTCAGTTATTCATTCTTCACCTCTTGCCTGCAGGAGTTTTACCCTGAATGGTTGACCCGAGGTAGCTGAAGTTATTCGCCTTTTGCTTCTTACAGCTTCACCTCTTCACCTGCATCACTCTCATTCACACACATGCCTTCCGTCGTGCCTTATTTCATCATGTCTCCCCCTCCGGTGCAGACCTCGACCTCAGGTTCTCTACCAACCACTCTCTGCTGTTACCACAGATTACAATGTCACCTAAAAAACATCATGGTCAATGGAGCCTGCTGCCTGACCTCATCTGTAAACCTGTCCATCATCGTTACAAACATAAAAAAGGGCTTAGGGCTAGTCCCTCATGTTCATCTACCAGTAATCCGATGCCATCAATATTATTATTATTATTATTATTATTATTATTATTATTATTGTTGTTGTTGTTATTGTTATAATAATAATAATAATAATAATAATAATAATAATTATTATTATTATTATAGAAGTACTCATTTTAAAAATTACAAAATATATACATATTATTTGTTGTTAATGGGTGAAAACAAGTACAAGTACACGCGTCTTGTGTTGTAAAAAACAAAACAAACAAAGAAATACCAAAACTTTAATTCAGATTTTATCTCTGTCAAGTGACTTTTAAATGCCTTTTGGAAAAAAACAAAAGACAAAAAAGAAAAGAATGTGACTTGATGTCATGCGGTTCCGGC